AACCTTGTGCTTTTCTCTTCCTCTCCAGGTACGAGGTGATCTGCCAAAGCTCAGAGCTGGCCAAGGACATCCTGGTGCCCTCCTTTGATCCCAAGAACAAGCACTGTGTGTTTCAAGGTGACCTCCTGCTGTTCAGCTGTGCAGGCGCCCACCCCAGGCACCGGAGGATCTGCCCCTGCCGGGACTTCATCAAGGGCCAGGTGGCCCTGTGCCGGGACTGCCTGTGAGGGCGCCGCGGGCCCCCTGCCCGAGAAGCACCAGCAGATTCCGAGCTCCAGCGACCCCACCCCCACCCCCAAGCTGGGCTTCCTCCCTCGCTGAGTGCAAGGCCAGACCTGACAGGTGGAGAGAGGGTCCTGGTCCTCCCTGGGCCCAGGACGGGGCCTCTCGCCGCACAAGTTCGGGAGCAGGGGTCCCGGGAGGGGGGTCAGCCTTGTCCCTCTGGAGGAGTTTGGGGTGTGGCCAGAAGGGACAGGGGACTGGGGGAGGCCAGGCGAGGGACCCAGTCCTTGCCCCTCCCCTCTCCCACACCTCCCTGCTGCACGGGCCACAGTTGGAGGCGCAGGGACCCCTCGGGCGGGGGTGGAACTGTGTCCCCTCCTGCTTGTTCAGTTCTCTTCACTTGGGACTTCTCCTGAGCCCCTCCCGGCATGACTGCCATTCCAGACCCCGGCCTGTTCCCCACCCACCCCAGCCTCTGAGCACAGGTGCTGGTCCCTTCCCAGCATCCATTGCAGGCGCAGGCTCGGGCGGAGCTTCTGCCCCATCACACCCCTGGCCCAGGCCCTGGCCACCCAGGCCCGCCGGCCCCCGGCCCCCACCCATCAGTGCTGTGTCCGTGTCCCTCCAGCTTCCAACCATCTCGGATCAACTGTGCACCCCGTGCAGCATGCCTGCCCCCGCCCAGACCCCCAGAAACACTGCCACCCCATCCTGTGTATAACCCCCTCCCTCCCTGGGCCACCCAGCCGCCCTCCTGGGCTGCCCCGCCACTCCCGGCCCGGCCGCCCTGCAGCCGCAGACACTCAAGTCACCCAGGACCTGACCTTCAGGGGAAAGCAATAGAGACTCTCTTCTCTCTCTTTTTTAAAGATTTATTTCTTGAAATAATAAATATTTTATTGGGATGTGAGGTGCAGAGGAGGAGCCTGCTGTTTCTCATCTTTTCTGGGACGCGAGGGGCTGGGGGAGCGAGGGGCTGGGAACGCCCAGCGGGAGCCCCCGGTCCCTGCTCCACATCGTAGAGGCTGGGGCTCCGTGGCAGGCTGCCCGGAGGAGGGCCCTGCCTCCTGTCTTAGACTCTGAATGAGGTGAGTGGGGTGCAGGGCAGAGGGGGCAGAAGCAGGCTGGTAGCAGGAGAGAGAAGTCTGACCCGCACCCAGATACAAGGCCAGAGGGTGGCGGGAGGGGTCCTCCAGCCCTTCCCCCCAAAACCCAAGTGGCCGC